GCTCTTGTGTGCAAGCTAGATATTACAGTGTGTTTATGGATGTCAGAAAATTCTTGGAGCCATTTATTGAAACAATTCAAAGAGGTAAAACAAACTATTCTTTTCATTAATTTTATTCAAAAAAATCACGTTTTTTCTCTACAATCAGCAGTAACGAAATATGATGGATTTTAATGTAGACAACAACTGAGCCTATCGCTAATACGATGGAAAGAATTTTAACAACTCAAATTCTTTATTAATGTAATGCAAATTTCAGCAGAAAGATGTAAGCACAAAGTAGATTATTGCATAATTATCAGCAACACTTTAAGTGATATCACTGATATACAGAAAAGTATTCTACAAATTGCTTTAGTGTCAAAAATTGCTTACATTTTGGCTAATGTTTCAAAGTTTGAGGAAAGGTAGACAGAGCTTCTACACAAGCTGTTGAATTTCTCATCAAAACTTTTTTCACTTTGATTTCGTTTTTTAAGTTATTTAACACAAAACATTTGCATTGTTTTTGTAAAGAGGCAGAAATTTACAATGTTAATTATTCAAGTAGTAATTAATTTGTAATGTAAATTCAATAAATGAGGTAATATAATTAGCAAAGCTTCTCTTGTAGGTCAGAACATTAATCTAACCATGTACTACTCAAGAGCAATTGGAGTTGTGTTTCAAAACTTATCAGAGTATATTCTTCGAATCTTTCGGTTATTTTAACGAATAATGGAGAATTTTCTGATATCGATATGGTTGCATATTTTCGAGCACTTCCTTATCAGATTGAGCTTGTGAAGCAAACAACCTTAATTGATCTTATTACTGTTTCTGGACAGCAAAATCTAACTTCAAATACGACGACAATACAACATATTGCTTCTGTTCTTGTCCGGTATATAAGTAGCCTGTATGCTGATTTTAGATCTGGAAGATCGGGCAGACGTACTTGTAAGTATACACATGTTAAATGATGCTTTTAAAATACTAATACGACATAATTTTTTATGAATACTTATATAGTTGCATTATTTTTTACCATTCGCCAACGCTAATTTTTATAGTATAAACTAGTTATATACATTTTTAACAAAAGTTAGCATTAGTCTGATTATAGTATTTGTTAGTTATTAGTTATTACTTCACAGGAAGTTATCTTATTATGTCTTATTATTATTCACAAGCCGATCTAGCGTTTACGTATTACGGTGCCGGTGTTGTTTGTAACTGCCGTATATTAATGATAATTAAAATTAAGACTTAATTTAATTAAAAAACTCGTTGTGAGATCAGTTAAAATCATAAAACAGTGCAGCAAGCTTTCAAAACATTAATGACATCTTTAAATGATCCGCATTTGTTGATTAGGCAAACCTAATGTTTACTCATTGCTTAAATCAGAATATAACCACTGCTGAGATTGTCAAGACGTTAGTCAGCATCAACACCAACAATCCTTCTCAGGACTCTACTAACCTGAATGATCTATTTCTACTAACATATCACGACGTTTCCTGGTTGAAACCATTAACTTTATACACACCTTGCTCATATTAACTTCCTAATTAAATACAGAATTAATTGACTTGTAAAGAGTTTCCTCTAACGCGTTTATCGTTTGTTTTCCAGTTACACCTGATTCAATAGAAAGATTGGGGAACAGGTAAGAATTTTACTTTTGAATTTTTAAGATTTGTGTTTTTAATAAATAATGGCCTAAACTTTCTTTGATAAAAAAAAAATAGAATGATGTTCGTATGAACATTAATAAATGTGTTCCTTTTTATGCAAACGTGTTTGTTCATTAGAGCTATAGCAAAGTACGTCAACATATAAATCTTTTACTAAAATTTGGAGAGTTAATAATCAAAAATCGCATTTCTTTAACTTGGAACCCTTTTATTAAATATCAAGTTTAAACATATTTTGCTTTGTTTATAAACTGTTGTTCTTGTAATAATTATAATGAAGGATTTCGAAACATACAATTCATTAAATTGATATATTCTAAAAGAGGAGTTTGAAAAAAATATTTTTCCTTTGAATAGGTAGTTGTTCCTTTGAAAATGGCATTGACAATTCCAGATGCACATGGAAGAATGTTAATTATCCACTTGACAACTTTGATTGGACCATCCATTCTGGCTCAACACTAAGTTCGAGCACTGGGCCTAGCTCAGACAGAAGAGGATTGAGTACTGGTAAGTCTTTTATTAAAATACATGTTTTAATAGTTATCCTTAAATAAAACGTTGGACTTAAATAAAAGACTCTAAAGTGACGAAAGTACCAAAATTTTTTTGAATTATATGAAAAACTTAGTTGCAATTCAATGTAAAATGCCATTTCAGTTGACATATAGCTTTCCAACATTTTATTCAATTTTCGCAAATATTTTAAAAAGAGTATTAATAATGTTATTATTGAGGAAATTGAGTGCAGCCGGGGAAGTATTTTAGCCTCAATTAGCGATATTACTTTAAATTGGGAAATTCCGGCATTAAACAAATTACATAAAAGAAGCAAACATAAAGTAATTACTCCTATTATTTTCCCTAACACAGCTACATCTACATACACTTTTTCATAAGTTAAGAATGATCATGGAACAACGACTGAGCAACCGTACATTATAAAACTTTCCTAACAAACACCGCTTTAAAACAAGTAATTAGAACAAGTAATTAAGTCAAGTTGAGCTACACTCCAATAAATAAGATGAGAATTTAAGGTCTACTGTGCTTTAAGAGAAGAAGATTTCCTTTTAGACGAACACAGATTCTATATAATCACATAACGATGCATGATGCATTTAAGGCAAAAGACATCTTTTGTGCAGAAAATATTAGTAGTCTTATACAGTGTAAAAGATTACCAACAACACGCATTGAGAATATTGGCAAACCTTCTAAGGGGGTTAGTAACCAATGGTGGCGCAAAAAGTCAAGCATTATTTTTCACATTTGTGTATTGCTAGCTGGCAGGCAGTGTTGTCATTTCATGCATGAAACATGACGTTTGCTGTTTATAACAAATAATTTTACGGTCGACAGTATACATTGCCGATTTTTTGTTACTTTGCTAAAACGTTTTTAATGCAATATTTCAATTAATGAAGCCTATTATAAAAACATTGTTTATTTTAACAATATATATATCATGTTAATGTTGAACAAGACAAAATATTAAGAGGTAGCTAAGAGACAGTAAAAAAAGGGTACGCTCGGATGAAAATGAATTTTTATTTAATTATGTACAAAAGGAAAACCACTTACACTTCACGAAGAAGATAAACGAAAAATAATTTATGAAACGCGCATTAGAAGATATTTCAACTACAGAGCATCCATGCTGAAATATCGATAAGTATGGAAAGTACGAACAAAGCACGTCAACATTATATTTTACTTCGTTTCTACATCAGCCGGACCTTACACTCCTTCGACAAATTAATCCAAAGCTATGTAGGAAAAACATAAATTTTATTCCTGTTTGGTTATTATAACCAATTACATGCAAATAAACTACACGAAATACCAACAAAACTGATTGTCTCCTGTCAGCTTCTGAAAGGAAACATTAGCATTTTATGAAAGACCCATATTGTAATTACATCATAATGCAGGTAAAAAAAGGTCTTTGCATAAATTTGAGTGAAAATTGAAATGGAACAATAATAATGTATTTATTGCAGAGAGATTACGAAATCGTTAATCTGGTGAGATTATCTAGACAGTTTGAGGCACAAGACGTGTCGATTAATATGTAGGACTCTTTTGTTTGCTATTTATATCATTAAATGTATGGTTCGGCGAGTAATAGTGCGAGCATTGAAAAGCGATTTAAAATGCAAAAAAGAGTTTCTCCCGTAATTATACTTGATCAAATTATGAGGTAGAAAGCAAAGAATTTGTTTAAAGCATCAGTTTGTAGCCCATCAAACAAATTTTAACAAACGCAACCATAAGGTAATGAAAATCTTTCTTGATGTATTATAGATATGCTCAGAGCATATATAACAGAAATGCCAGAAATAATTTATCTACTGAAACATATATACCTAGAAGTGATGATAGCAAATTTTTGGTTGGTAAACCAAATACAGAATTTATGTAAATATCTCTCTTGTACTAAGGATATTTCACATGGAATAGTCTTCCAACAATATTATCCCATCGCTTTAATTAAAGGAAAATTGATTAGTTTTTATTTAATGCAGTCAAAACCATTTCTTTTCATTTACTGTTTCTAGAAGTACAAAAACAATTAGTGAAATGGTCACTTCTTTACTCCTACATGCTTCTTATGTCTCTAGTAGAAATCCAATTGATTTTGTCATTGGCATTTTACAAACAGTCTTAATACCTAAATTTAACAAAAGCAAACAAGCAATATTTGCCTAAAATCAATATATATTGAGAAAATCACCACTCTGGTCAAATGTCGATTTTGCATAAATCAACAAATATTCTTGGCAGATATTCAATTTTTTATTTTCAAAGAAAAAATCACGTGAAACAAAAAAAAAACACTTAGTTCACTCTAATCATGCATTATTTAAAAGTGATTGACATTGTTTTGTTGACATACAATGGACTTTATTTGACCTAGCTTCATCAAAACACGTTTTGACCATATTTTGTCATTTTGACATTAGAGTTATTTCAATACTGCCATTTCAGGCGGGTTTCGATTCGGGACTTTTTCCCAGATCAAGGAATTTGCACATATACCATGTTGTTTGTTATTGTAATTTTACCCAAAAACAGTTGAGATCAATTCCTGTCAATGAAATGCATACAAATCCTTATGCATGTCTATGCCTAAAACATAATTTGAAAAAATTGTAGTTTCAAAAAACGAGAGCGTTATTAAAAAAACCAAAAAGCAAAACAAATTTTCTTGACTTGCTTAAAATTGTCTTCTAGGAAAATACATTTACATTGAAACATCAAGTCCCCGTGTGCTGGGTGATAAAGCATGGTTGGTTAGCAACTACTTCAATACAACAACCAAATGTTTTACATTTTGGTATCATATGTATGGATCAACAATTGGTTCTCTTAATATATACCAACAATACATGGGAGGTAGATTAAAGCTGTTGTGACATTATGGCAATAGAGGAAATCAATGGAGCAGAGCTCAAGTTACAACCAACTTTACGAAGTAAAACGAGGGTGAGTATAATTAACAATGTTCTCAAACTCTGCATATCAGAGTACAAAAACGCTTAGTTTCAACATTGAAAGCTTATTTAGATTTTTAAAAGGATTGGGCGGGAGATGAGAAGATAAACAGTTCCGAGAAAAATTTTCAATTCTTTGTTCACAGCTCATAAATAATTTTATTATCTTCCTTAACTCTTCAACCAGTAAATGTTATGCTGTAGCCTTTCCCCAGAAAATTATTTTTCTACCCCTTTCGAAAGTTTCTTATCTTGTAACGTCTTTTAAATTTTGGATGCTGATGTAGAATTATAAAGGAGGATTAATGTCTTAAAACTTATATCCATGTTACAAATGTTACAAACTTATATGCCTGTAAGCCACGTGTCTCCAGACCAAAATTTCGTTTGTTCTCAATCATTACATTGCAAATCAACTTTTTGGGTGCCTTTGCGGTTTCAAAAACATCGTTCTTAATTTTGTTCATATCATTTGCCACCCACTTTCTATTAAAAGATCAAACAATCTATATTAGCAACTAAACTTGATGTTTTTATTCACATATAACTCTACGACTCAGTGCACTTATAAATTCAAACTGCTCATTTGGCAATCAAAAGTAAAAAAAACCGCATATATCTAACATTAAATTACTAAAGTGCATAACCGTTTTTGAGTACATTTTGCATACTACCTGGTAAAAGTTTGAATATGTAATAAAGTAAACAATGACTATCTGAATCACCGAACGGCATATTATCTTGCTAAAATCTTGCTAAAAACGTGCTTAAAAGCTTTTTTTTGTAGATCATCGTCGAAGGTGTTCGTGGCTCAAGCTTTACGGGTGATATTGCTCTAGATGATTTTGTTTTTCTTAATGGTTCATGTGATATCCATCCCACCTATGCTGAACCACGTTTTATCAGTAAGTTATTTTATATAATGACGAGTTTTGATCGCTTTCTTACGAATTTACTTGATTTTTAACAGGTATTTGACGTATTTTCTATGCAGAAAAAAGAACTGCAATGGTTATGTTTTGATGTATAAATAAAATTTTAGTAAATTTTAACCGTTGTTAACCAGTCAAATTATTCCTAAACAACAAATAAAAATAGCGCAAATCTCAATAAAGAGCGGTTTTAGGAAAAAAGCTTTGACTTTTACGTAAAGATTGTTTTTAAAGAGCTAAAAGATTCAATGAACTTAGTTTTGTCTTTTTCCTTTGTAGCAATTGCTACGAACATTGTAACCATGTAACATTCTTGCACACAGGTCTTAACAATTCCCTATAGTTATCAAATTTGTTAACTTTTGAATCAAAAACTCATTTTATTAACAATCTATTAGATAGTCGTAGAGATGCCGCATGTCCCTTTTACTTTCAAACGATTCTCCATAAAATTTCAATCTTTTAGATACTACATCAACCATTTCCCCAACTCCGACAATCTCCTACGGTAAGTATATATAAAAATTAAAGAAAGGGCTAATTCGTTACTCTTTCAACTCGTGTTTCAAATGAAGGACATACGTCTTTTTTTATTTCTTACCCATGCTTTATCCTCATGCAATGTTCTATTATGGTACGAGTTTCTTATTTGTGAATCTTTTTTATAATTTTAATCCATAGACTTTTGCTTGTTAAAACAAAAGAGTTGTTTTAATTTTGTTATACAAAGTGCATACCAGTTTTATTTAAAGTACACGCAGAAGTTGCAATATGATGAAAATTGAGAAACAACATAGATGTTCTGTTTGTTCTACAGCCACACCTACCTCAACAACCACGATTGGTGCAAATGGTAGGGTCCTACATTAAAATTTAATTATATTAAACTGTTAATTAATGTGTAAAAATAAGTTAAGTGTGTGTACGTTACTTACAGCTCTGGTCATTTTTAGAAAATTCAATTTAGTTATTATTTTAAAACAAAGCCTCTGAAATCTATTTCTCTTTAAGTGCCGGGAATCAACATCTGTTCTGCTTCATCAATCAGTTCAACCTCTGCGACTATTGTGTCTCCAAACTATCCCAATGGCTCTGGAAGTAGGACCTGTACTTTGACAATAAGGCAGCCCCTTAACATTGCAGTGAGGTTCAATATCTCAATTATTAACTTGGAACGTATACAAAATGGTAAGTGAATTCTACTACACCTCAAGGATGTTGTATCGAATAAGGGTTTACTTTGGCTGAAAAGTTCAAGTAACTTTCTCAGCGGAAAGTTTTTAACTACGATATTATATTTAGTTGTGATTTTTAAAATATCATTGAAAACAGTTTTTGAAATTTGCCAAATCGTTCCATTTTTATGCCTATTTCAATTTGGCAAAAAAGCTTCTTATGATGGACCTCGTCTGTTGTTCTAAAATTGCGAAACTATTACTATTGGATTCTGCAATAAAAGAGACATGTACCAACTACTAAGATGACGTTAGAAATTGTTTTAACTTGGACTTACTGCCCTGGAGACAAGTCCATTGAAAGGAATATTTTAACAACCATCACAATAAGATAATTTGACTAAATTTAAAACTGTTTCCACAAATACGTTAAACACTTCACTTACTTTTGATATCTTATATAAATTATTTCACAAATCTAGAGATAGCTACATTTTATTAAATTTCCAGAGAAGGATCACTTGTGTTTAGGATTTTAAAAGAAGTACATATTTTTTATAAAATTTTTATTTTAATTGTTTTAATTTGCGCTTTATAAAGGCATAATGAATTAATTTAACAGGCAGAAGAGTTATATGTTTGGATTCCCTTACAATATCTGGTGGAACATCTAAACAATTCTGTGGCAACGAAACCTCTTTAACATTTACACCATATACCAATGTTGTATTATTGACATTCAGATCAAATGGAACGGCACCTATGGAAGGATTTAATCTTACATTTACAACTTTCTATCGTAAGTATGTAACGGTGCTTTATAGACCAATACACACCATACAAAAACATAAATAGTGATACAAAAATATTTGCATAAACGTATGTAGAGTTTTACCATAAAGTTGTTAAAAGACAAATAAGAATACATAATTAGTTAATGTAATTAAAATGTGTTAAAGCACCCAATAAATTCACAATGACAATACACATTTCCTGTACACACAATACAATGACGTAAGAACCAGACAACAAATACGGCTAACCTGACGTTTACTCCTCATTTGACTCTGTCAGTCAACAACAACAAAAACAGTCCTTCTCAGTACTATACCAACCTGGACGATCGACATTTACAAACATGTAATGAATTATCTGGGAAGGTAAATACTTCACTTATTATAATTTCTTTTCATGTATTTACTGTTTACCTTTGTCTAAATCAATCAAATATAAATCTTTGACAGGACTTTCCATAAATAATGGCTAATTATTAAAAACGCACTTTCATAAGCGCTCAAAACAACCAACGTCAGTTTTGTATAACAAAATGGCTTTTACCTTTGACAAAATTGACACCAACTGTATCAAATATCTTATGTGGGTTGGTTTTGTTATTACCTGCAACTACAAAGAAAAATTGATTATCTGGATAATTAAATAAAAACTAAAAGAACTTGTGTTCCAATTTTTAAACAATCGAAAACCTTATCGGAAAGTCCTTCCATCACTTTTTGTTGCGAAGAATGTGCCATAGTAGTATTTGTAAAATTTGGTCAATAAATTGTGAAAGAACACTGTCCTTCGTATTTCATATACGAAAAAAGATTTTATAAAATTAACTGTTTTGGAAAATTGCTTCGTGCCCACTTCGCTATATACTTACATGCACCACCTTTTCATTAATATAAAACCATTATCTGTACTAAATTATTTAGGAATGGATTTACCTTCTGCAACAAATGTTTGCTCGAATAAAATGATATACACTTCAGCTGGTCGAATTTACTCACCTGGATTTCCTAATGCCTACAGTAACAATCTAAGATGTAGTGTCACAATTGTTGTTCCTTTTGAAAAAGCACTGGAAATCGTCATCAATTATTATGATATTGAATGTAAGTTAATTTTTATGTATTATCTCCATGTAAAATTCTGTTTACCAAATAATTCAAAAAATTTCATCGATAGCCATATATAGGTTTTTGTTTGTGCTACCTCAAAATGTTAGAATCCTGAAAACTTTTTACATAAGTTTCAAACTTTGGTTTACAATACATTGCACAAACAATGCTATAGATGCGACGAAAATTTCGTCACTTTGTAAACGTTTTTCTAACATAATTGTTGATTCTTTTATGAAGAATAAAACAACAAATCATGTTTTTATTTCAAATTTAACACAGTGCCCACACAACGGTTGAGGTTTGTTGCAGTTTGGAGACATTTCTCTATCCTCCTGTCTACAATTGTAAACTATTATCCTTAAATCAGGAAACGGTGTACAAAAACACATAAAAATTTTTCAGTTACCATTTAAGTACGGCGTAATTGACTTTCCGTTGCTTCGTTGATGGACAAATATGTCCTGATCAATTAAAAAGGTTTAAAATTAAAGACTCCACTTCCGTATTTTAACTTTGATCATTATCATTAATGATCTATTATTAAGAACAGAGATCAATATACGCAGATAGAGACAAAAACAACTCTCTTAACTTCAAAAAGTATAAAAGATGTAAATAAATAAAAATCAAAACAAACAAAAATTACTCATCAGTTATATTTTTGCTTCTTTTTTAAATTTAAACACTTCAATGCATTTAATTAGTACATTCCACATGTGTATGGGATAAATTGTCATTGTCAAATGGTGCCACATCAAACGACATTTGCGGTCTCTCATGAATCAACGGTCGGCCACAGAAGTTTAAAGATGGGAATGTTGTCATAAGTTTTACAACTGACTCCAGTGTTACTCGTACTGGATTTTGCTGACTTTTCGTAGTATTCCTTTAATACGTAAGTGGATAATGCTTGTTATTTATTCATAATGTTGAATTTGTATGAACAATTCACCATGTAGTGCATTATACTCGATAAATAGTACCTCCATTTTGTTCGACAATTTGTCCCAATTCAATACTTTTTAGGATCGTCTATTAACTGCATTTTTGATGATGGTTTTTGCAACCAGACAAAGACAGATAATTGGGTAAGAACTAATGGGGCATCAGGAATTAATCGTCCTACCTTCGATCATACAACAGGCACTTCAACAGGTATTTTGTGTTAAGTTGTATGTAGAGTTTGAATATTTTGTTTTCCATTTGCAAAAAAAATTATATAGACCACAAGAAAACATGACATGTAAAAAAAACCTGGAACTGGTGAGAAAAAAATTCATTTCTATCATAGCCTGGTCTCTTCTTAGTCTCTTCTTTTATTGCGAACTGTTTCATTGCATTTGTTTAATTTTCTACGTTTACATATAAATTTGCAATAAAGCCTAGTTTATATTAATTGAAAGTTCGCAACGTTTAGTCATACATGGCATTGTGTCAGTTTTTTTATAAGCGGTAAGTAAAATAAAAAGTAAGGTTCTCCAAATTGATTTGCAAAAAAGTCGTAAATATTGGAAAAAATGAAAGTTGTTTCTTTTTAAATACGATTTCCCGTAACAAAGGTTTTTTCAATTATGGACAAATGTAAGCATGAAATCTGACAACTGCCAAATTTATAATGTATAATGACCAAGGAGTTGCATTTCGCTTCATCTAAAAAGTCTTGTAATAAAATCTTGAAATAGCGGTAATAATTATTCTGTGAAATCATAAAGTTTTAACTTTCTTTTATAATTGTGCTCTGAGAACTTAAATTTTATCACATTCTAATATATGTACGAAGTTAATGTTACTTTGTTAATACGCTCTTGGTAGGATGTTTAGGTTCACTCATTAATCCATGTATTTTATAATCTAAACTATGACACATACTATAATGTTATTGCACGTAAGCACTGCAGAGCATAAGAGACTGAAGGTCTCAGTCAATGCCCACAAAAAATCATTTTGGAAACGTTATTAAAAGGTTGTAAGTTATAATCATTATTGCATATACTCATGCATGTCATTGATTTTGAAATTTTGTTTGAACATTAAAATGAACATTTCCCCATTCTTTGCACTACGAGTTACAAACACAAGCGGAAAAATCCAAAAGCAAAGAGCGTGAGGGGACTGCAAACGTCGTCAAATGACGGAACATGGTCGAGGAATACAGATATCAATTAAAGGCATGAAACTTTGTCAAAGGCCCCGTAATTTGTTATTCGCCAATACAATGTAATTTCGAACTATGGGTGGTTTTATTTGGTATTAATTCAAAGGGCAGCTGTTAAAATTGTTTGTAATTTACGAATTGTCAAATGAAAGTAATAGAAATCTTTAAATTAGTGACCCAAGTCTCCAATCTAGGAAGCCTTTTCTTGGTCCCCTCAATCTAACATTAGACAGCTCTAGCAAACATAACGCGACGTCGATGATAACGAGAAAATGGCGTGACGCGGCGTGCTTGTGTTCCAGTTAAGTTTAGAAAGGCGTTTATGTTGATTTGAGGACGAGAAAATGGGTGATTTGACGTTCTTACATTGTTTTACTAAATCGCGTACATATAAAAGTATGCAAGTTGCAAGAGAAATTGCTCTCACGCGAATTAAACATAGCTTTTAGTAATAAAGGATCCATGATTCCTAATGAGAAATTCATACGCATTTATTCCCATTTATTTAAATTGCTTTTTTTATTAACCTTGAATCGTCTGTTTTATACGTGCTCTAAATTTTGTTGTGAGAATTTTTGTGTCATTACGTAACTGCTAAGTTTGACATTCTTCAACGTTGTTCCACTTTTATTGTTAGTTATTTAATTTCTCCACTTTTAAGGTTACTTTATTTTGCTACAAACGAACTATAACGAAAGAATTCAGTCTGGAAGTATCACTTTCAATTTGACTGCAAATGTAACAAAGTCTTGTTTAAGTTTTTGGTATCAAAGCTCTGGCAATACGAGTGCTCCAAATACTATTGGCGTTTATTTGATCTCAAATGAACGAGTCATGCTCATGTGGAATGATACGCTAAAGCAGGATTTGTTTTGGAACAAAGCTCAGTCAACTGTAAATCTTACTCATGGAAATTATAGAGTAAGTAGTGCTATAGAAAACGATCAAATGCATAAGTCATAAAAAAATTCAAATTTTTTACGTCGTGATAAAAGTGCCCATTACTAAATTGCTTGTTACATCCTATCTTTAAGAGTTAACATATTATAATCATTTAAATACGTAATGATCCCTTTAGATCATTATAGCTAATGTACATAAATCATTGTTAGCAGATTTCAAAAATTGCTTAAAATAGCAAAAATTATACAAGCTATATTTTTGTAAATACATGATAATAGTTATAAAAATTATTTGCAGTTTCATAGGTATAAACAAAAACAAAGTGACTGATACTGTATGTCATCAGGTGCAACAAAAGTGTTACTTGTTTGATTGCTATTTACTGTTTTGATTCGAAAAATTTTCGTGCGAGTAAATAGACGGATTTTCAAATAGCTACATCTGTTGTTATACACTAGCATATTTCCTTTCGGTAAAAAGCGTTTTAAAACGAAAGGTTTCCATAATTTCGTAGAAGCACTTTTGCTAAAATGCATTTAATGTAGACAACGAGTTTTTTGAGAATAGATATGTTTCGACATCAAATGATGCCATCTTTAGTATAAATGAACAATTACATAAATAATACAAAGTTTATATAAAAGTAATATGATTTTATGAAATAAATATATAAATATAAATAAATCATAAGCAATAATAAAGAAATGAGATAAATTAATGGGGAGCGTGTTACAAACTAAATATTGTGTTGAATCTAAAAACTTGAACATTGAGGTCAGGGATTGGGTTTTGAATGAGAAAGGTTTTGATTTTGAATAATGTGAAACCTAGTCGAATGTAAATATCTGTACAGAAGCGCTTCATATTGTTCGTAAGTGCGCTGTGTGTGTCCTGAGTAATGTCCATGTATGGTAGTCTAAGTGATGAGTTGTTATTTTAGAATTTTGTTTATGTCTCGTTGAAGGCAATGTTCGTATTGTTAAGTTTGTATGCTCTGTCGATAAGTATGCGTATAAGTCCGGTCTTGTATGAAAGTGGTGTGAAACTATAATAGTTCGTCAGAAGTCCTGTGTATGTTGGTTTTTGATATGTAAACGTTGTACAGCTGTCATGGGCTTTTGTTAGAAAAATATCAAGAAATGGCAGTTGATCTTGTTGCCAAGTTTCAGATTAAAATCTAATGTTTGCATGCTGCGTATTAATGTAAAGTTTCGTTAGTAAAAACACAAAAAATATCCGTGAGCCAATAAAAATGTAAGCAAGTATGGGTGCTAAGGGAAAGCCAATAGCAACACCTTCCGTCTTGTCGGAAAACTTTCAATCAACTAAAAATGCGTCTGTGCTGTTGCTAATAAAACAGTTTGTGAGGTCAATCTTGTTTTTATCTGAACCTGGGGTTTTGAGTGAATATTGTGTCAATTGCTAGATTGATGGTTTCAGTAAGTGGTATGTTAGTAAATCGGCTTTCAACCTAGTAGCAGATGAAGAATTTTTAACAAGAAGTTGATGAGTTGAAAGAAGAGAAGTCGTTGAGGAAAGTAAAAGAATCTTTAGTGGACTGGTCATCTGGAATATATGTGTTGTTAGAAGAACTAAGATGCTTAGGTAGATCATAATTGTACGCAATGATGAAATGGCAAAACTCCGAGCCATTTATCCACCAGAATCAGGAAACATACCACAACAGACAAAAACTCTCATATTTACCGGCACCTTCTTAAATGTCATTCATGTAAAACCAATATTTACCCTCTTGCTTCAAAATTATTGACCCTCAGACACCTCGTTCTCCCTTAAAATCAAAGAAGCACTCCATACTAACATTTAAAACTAACTAACCCTAACCTCAATGTTCAAATTTTTAATTTAACACAATATTTAGTTTGTAACATGCTCCAATAATTTATCTCATTTCCTTATCATTGTTAAAATTTATCCATATTTATATATTTATGCCACTGCACAAAACTTTTATAAACCTTGTATTATTTATGTAATTATTCATTTATACTGAAGATGGCATCATTTGATGTCGAAACATGTCTATTCTCAAAAACTCGTAGTCTATATTTAATGCGCATTTTAAGGTGCTTTTAATAAAAGTATTCCTTGTTTTATAGATAGTCTTAAAAGTGCTCGTCGAGTCATACCCGGGTTATGTTGCTTTAGATGATATTTCAGTTGTTCCTGGAGAATGTGTCAAACAAGGTAGTTTTTTGAAGGTTTTTTGTTTGTCTTATGTTACTGTTGCCGTACTGAATAATTTCTTAAAAAGTGTACGGTAATAACTGTTCTCTAGTCATGTCTGAGCAATAAGCACATTTTATTAAACGATCTAAGCCGAACTTTTAAACCTAAAATTCAAATTTTCTGCAAAATTATTACTTATAGCTTTGGAAAAAACTATTCCATTAACTGTTTTTCTTTAATATTTTGTAAATGTAGAACCTCTAGGTTTAGTATAGATATCTGAGAAGTCAAATTGACTTTGAAGATAACTACCGCTAAGGTTGTGGAAATGTCAATCAACATCAACACTTACAGTCCTTCTTAACTCTATACTAACCTACACAATGACGATCTACATTTAAAACAAGCAACGATACTCCGGGTTCAAGCTTTACTTTAACTGTTTTTCCTTACAGAGATTGAGCACAAAAGATTCTTGTTTTAAGAGTAAAAACGGGCTTGCTTTGTTCTATAGATAACTCCAAACCTACTCTAGCCATAAACCTTTAGATTGTCCCTAACTCTAATACACCTCCAATAATGTCGCAAAGCCATTTTTGATAAGCATTGCAAGAACATTATTTTTATTTATTGTTATCTCCTATAAATTTAAATATTTTTCCTGTTATCAAATTTCCCTTAGTCTCTATACCTCAATATCTCTATCCTTAGGACATCAGTTTCCTTTTTAGTTATTCTAGATTCGAGCTTTCCTGGATAAGTGACTTAGGAACAGTTTCCATTACTTTGAACAGATGTTTATGCTTTAGATAAGATTTGAGACGAAAAGTGTTGCGTAATTGCTTGGCAGATTTATTAGCACTTACTCTAGTATTCTCTTATCAGTATAACATAAATCATTCACAATCCTATTTTTGCTTTTTCAACTTCTTAGTCAGTTTGCAAATGCACTTTTGTACACGACACTATTATAAATGTAGGCTATGATGCAAGCTAGAAGAAAGTTTACATTAATAACATTTTACCTCTCAAGTAATTCGATTTCAAGTTTAATACTTCTGACAAAAACTTTTCAAATACCACTTTATTTATGACTAATTTTACTGTAACGAACCACTTTTTTCAACAAAATTAGTGACGTAATTAATTTCATGTTGAAGACAAGTGATTTTGAGAAAAATCACGTCATGTGCTGCTAACAGAAATGTAACATAAAACAAAATGTTTTACCTTCAAACTAGATGAACTACTGAATTTTGACCTTAAAATGTTCATTGTTAGCTTTGAACACCTTTCAATTTTTGTACTGGACAATTGTTGCAGAAACATCTATTTTAAACACTCATAAGCAATTTTTGGCTTTAAAGGAAGAAGATTTACCTTAATTGATCGATTAATTAATGCTTTGTTTTGTAAAATGTAATATAATTATAAATAGGTGTACAATGCAGTTAATATTGGTATACATCCACGTGCACAACAATGAGCTAGTGTTCTCTGAAGATAAACAGTTGCCTATTTTGAAAAATACTATTCATGAATTTTTTGTCAAAGTATAAAATATTTACTTGGATATAAAACAACTGAAGGCATGACGTCCTTAAAATTGCACTGACCCTTTTTTCTCCAACTTACATGATATTTAACACTATGTTTCAAGGTAAGTAAACCAAATCAATAAAATGACAGAGCATCCTAATTTTTGAATTACTAACTAAGTTTTATTACAATTTCATTGACAGAGTAAAATGTTTGTTAACTAACTTTATTGGAAATCTGATAAAATTTGACAGGTACTTCTTCTCAAATGAGCTCCTGTGGCAAGCGCAAGATTCTCGCTGGATCTCAGTCTCCACAATCTCTCATTGTAGGAGGAACAGAAGCTACACCAAACTCTTGGCCATGGATAGTTAGTTTGACTCGAGGAGGCTCTATTCATTGTGCAGGATCAATTATTGACAAATATTGGATTTTGACAGCAGCTCATTGTCTTGTACAATCAACACAACCTGCAACTTTTTACACAGGAATTACAATAAATGTTGCAGATCATAGAACAGACACAACTAGTGTTTATGAATACTCTTTGACGTCAGTAGCCATGTATATTCATCCTAAATATTACGTAAGAGGACCTGTATATTTTGCGGACTATGACGTTGCTTTGATGAAACTCCCGACATCTTTGAACTTTACCGAACGTGTGCAGCCTGTTTGTCTTCCAAGTCGAGATGATATTTTAACGGAAATGATACATGTTTTGTGATTGGCTGGGGACGTACTGCATCTGGCTTCACTTCTCCATACTTACAACAGGTGAAACTTGATGTTATTAGTCTTCAAGAATGCAATAGTTTTAGCTTTTTTAACGGGAGAGTCTCACCAAGGTCAGTCTGTGGTGGTCGTAGATCAGGTGGAGTCAGTGCTTGTAATGGTGATAGTGGTGGTCCCTATCAATGTAAACGCAATAATACTTGGATACAATTAGGGATAGTCTCTTGGGGACGCTCTTGTGTGCAAGCTAGATATTACAGTGTGTTTATGGATGTCAGAAAGTTCTTGGAGCCATTTATTGAAACAATTCAAAGAGGTAAAACAAACTATTCTTTTTCATTAATTTTATTCAAAAATCACGTTTTCTCTACAATCAGCAGTAACGAAATATGATGGATTTTAATGTAGACAACAACTGAACCTATCGCTAATACGATGGAAAGAATTTTAACAGCTCCAAATTCTTTATTAATGTAATGCAAATTTCAGCAGAAAGATGTAAGCACAAAGTAGATTATTGCATAATTATCAGCAACACTTTAAGTGATATCACTGATATACAGAAAAGTATTCTACAAATTGCTTTAGTGTCAAAAATTGCTTACATTTTGGCTAATGTTTCAAAGTTTGAGGAAAGATAGACAGAGCTTCTACACAAGCTGTTGAATTTCTCATCAAAACTTTTTTTCACTTTTGATTTGTTTTTAAGTTATTTAACACAAAAACATTTGCATTGTTTTAAAGAGGAGAAATTTACAATGTTAATTATTCAAGTAGTAATTAATTTGTAATGTAAATTCAATAAATGAGGTAATATAATTAGCAAGAGCTTCTCTTGTAGGTCAGAACATTAATCTAACCATGTACTACTCAAGAGCAATTGGAGTTGTGTTTCAAAACTTATCAGAACTATATTCTTCGAATCTTTCGGTTATTTTAACGAATAATGGAGAATTTTCTGATATCGATATGGTTATATTTTCGAGCACTTCCTTATCAGATTGAGCTTGTGAAGCAAACAACCTTAATTGATCTTATTACTGTTTCTGGACAGCAAAATTTAACTTCAAATACGACGACAATACAACATATTGCTTCTGTTCTTGTCCGGTATATAAGTAGCCTGTATGCTGATTTTAGATCTGGAAGATCGGGCAGACGTACTTGTAAGTATACACATGTTAAATGATGCTTTTAAAATACTAATACGACATAATTTTTATGAATACTTATATAATTGCATTATTTTTACCATTCGCCAACGCTAATTTTTATAGTATAAACTAGTTATATACATTTTTAACAAAAGTTAGCATTAGTTTAATTATAGTATTTGTTAGTTATTAGTTATTACTTCACAGGAAGTTATCTTATTATGTCTTATTATTATTCACAAGCCGATCTAGCGTTTACGTATTACGGTGCCGGTGTTGTTTGTAACTGCCGTATATTAATGATAATGATAATTAAAATTAAGATTTAATTTAATGAAAAAAAAAACTTGAACGGAGAAAGGAAGAGATCAGTTAAAATCATAAAACAGTGCAGCAAGCTTTCAAAACATTAATGACATCTTTAAATGATCCGCATTTGTTGTGATGGGGCAAACCTAATGTTTACTCCTTGCTTAAATCAGAATATAACCACTGCTAAGATTGTCAAGACGTTAGTCAGCATCAACACCAACAATCCTTCTCAGGACTCTACTAACCTGAATGATCTATTTCTACAAACATATAACGATGTTTCTTGGTTTAAACCATTGACTTTATACACACTTTGCTCATATTAACTTCCTAATTAAATACAGAATTAATTGACTTGTAAAGAGTTTCCTCTAACGCGTTTATCGTTTGTTTTCCAGTTACACCTGATTCCAATAGTACGATTGGGGGAACAGGTAAGAATTTTACTTTTGAATTTTTAAGATTTGTGTTTTAATAAATAATAGCCTAAAGTTTCTTTGATAAAAATAAAAATAGAATGATGTTCGTATGAACATTAATAAAAGTGTTCCTTTTTATGCAAACGTGTTTGTTCATTAGGAGCTATAGCAAAGTACGTCAACATATAAATCTTTTACTAAAATTTGGAGAGTTAATAATCAAAAATCGCATTTCTTTAACTTGGAACCCTTTTATTAAATATCCAAGTTTAAACATATTTTTGCTTTGTTTATAAACTGTTGTTCTTGTAATAATTATAATGAAGGATTTCGAAACATACAATTCATTAAATTGATATATTCTAAAAGAGGAGTTTGAAAAAAATATTTTTCCTTTGAATAGGTAGTTGTTCCTTTGAAAATGGCATTGACAATTCCAGATGCACATGGAAGAATGTTAATTATCCACTTGACAACTTTGATTGGACCATCCATTCTGGCTCAACACTAAGTTCGAGCACTGGACCTAGCTCAGACAGAAGAGGATTGATTACTGGTAAGTCTTTTATTAAAATACATGTTTTAATAGTTATCCTTAAATAAAACGTTGGAATTAAATAAAAGACTCTAAAGTGACGAAAGTACCTAAAATTTTTGAATTATATGAAAACTTAGTTGCAATTCAATGTAAAATGCCATTTCAGTTGACATAGCTTTCCAAAATTTTATTCAATTTTCGCAAATATTTTAAAAGAGTATTAATAATGTTATTATTGAGAAATTGAGTGCAGCCGGGAAGTATTTTAGCCTCAATTAGCGATATTACTTTAAATTGGGAAATTCCGACATTAAATAAATTACATAAAAGAAGCAAGCATAAGTAATTACTCCTATTATTTTCCCTAACACAGCTACATCTACATACACTTTTCATAAGTTAAGAATGATCATGGAACAACGACTGAGCAACCGTACATTATAAAACTTTCCTAACAAACACCGCTTTAAACAAGTAATTAGAACAAGTAATTAAGTCAAGTTGAGCTACACTCCAATAAATAAGATGAGAATTTAAGGTCTACTGTGCTTTAAGAGAAGAAGATTTCCTTTTAGACGAACACAGATTCTATATAATCACATAACGATGCATGATGCATTTAAGGCAAAAGACATCTTTTGTGCAGAAAACATTAGTAGTCTTATACAGTGTAAAAGATTACCAACAACACGCATTGAGAATATTGGCAAACCTTCTAAGGGGGTTAGTAACCAATGGTGGCGCAAAAAGTCAAGCATTATTTTTCACATTTGTGTATTGCTAGCTGGCAGGCAGTGTTGTCATTTCATGCATGAAACATGACGTTTGCTGTTTATAACAAATAATTTTACGGTCGACAGTATACATTGCCGATTTTTTGTTACTTTGCTAAAACGTTTTTAATGCAATATTTCAATTAATGAAGCCTATTATAAAACATTGTTTATTTTAACAATATATATATCATGTTAATGTTGAACAAGACAAAATATTAAGAGGTAGCTAAGAGACAGTAAAAAGGGTACGCTCGGATGAAAATGAATTTTTATTTAATTATGTACAAAAGGAAAACCACTTACACTTCAGAAGATAAACGAAAAATAATTTATGAAACGCATTAGAAGATATTTCAACTACAGAGCATCCATGCTGAAATATCGATAAGTATGGAAAGTACGAACAACACGTCAACATTATATTTTACTTCGTTTCTACATCCAGCCGACCTTACACTCTTCGACAAATTAATCCAAAGCTATGTAGGAAAAACATAAATTTTATTCCTGTTTGGTTATTATAACCAATTACATGCAAATAAACTACACGAAATACCAACAAAACTGATTGTCTCCTGTCAGCTTCTGAAAAGGAAACATTAGCATTTTATGAAAGACCCATATTGTAATTACATCATAATGCAGGTAAAAAGGTCTTTGCATAAATTTGAGTGAAAATTGAAATGGAACAATAATAATGTATTTATTGCAGAGATTACGAAATCCGTTAATCTGGTGAGATTATCTAGACAGTTTGAGGCACAAGACGTGTCGATTAATATGTAGGACTCTTTTGTTTGCTATTTATATCATTAAATGTATGGTTCGGCGAGTAATAGTGCGAGCATTGAAAAGCGATTTAAAATGCAAAAAGTTCTCCGTAATATACTTGATCAAATTATGAGGTAGAAGCAAAGAATTTGTTTAAAGCATCAGTTTGTAGCCCATCAAACAAATTTTAACAAACGCAACCATAAGGTAATGAAAATCTTTCTTGATGTATTATAGATATGCTCAGAGCATATATAACAGAAATGCCCAGAAATAATTTATCTACTGAAACATATATACCTAGAAGTGATGATAGCAAATTTTTTTGGTTGGTAAACCAAATACAGAATTTATGCAAATATCTCTCTTGTACTAAGGATATTTCACATGGAATAGTCTTCCAACAATATTATCCCATCGCTTTAATTAAAGGAAAATTTGATTAGTTTTTTTATTTAATGCAGTCAAAACCATTTCTTTTCATTTACTGTTTCTAGAAGTACAAAACAATTAGTGAAATGGTCACTTCTTTACTCTCCTACATACTTCTTATGTCTCTAGTAGAAATCAATTGATTTTGTCATTGCATTTTACAAACAGTCTTAATACCTAAATTTAACAAAAAGCAAAACAAGCAATATTTGCCTAAAATCAATATATATTGAGAAAATCACCACTCTGGTCAAATGTCGATTTTGCATAAATCAACAAATATTCTTGGCAGATATTCAATTTTTTATTTTCAAAGAAAAAACGTGAAACAAAAAACACTTAGTTCACTCTAATCATGCATTATTTAAAAGTGATTGACATTGTTTTGTTGACATACAATGGACTTTATTTGACCTAGCTTCATCCAAAACACGTTTTTGACCATATTTTGTCATTTTTGACATTAGAGTTATTTCAATACTGCCATTTCAGGCGGGTTTCGATTCGGGACTTTTTCCCAGATCAAGGAATTTGCACATATACCATGTTGTTTGTTATTGTAATTTTACCCAAAAACAGTTGAGATCAATTCCTGTCAATGAAATGCATACAAATCCTTATGCATGTCTATGCCTAAAACATAATTTGAAAAAATTGTAGTTTCAAAAAACGAGAGTGTTATTAAAAAAAAAGCAAAACAAATTTTCTTGACTTGCTTAAAATTGTCTTTTAGGAAAATACATTTACATTGAAACATCAAGTCCCCGTGTGCTGGGTGATAAAGCATGGTTGGTTAGCAACTACTTTAATACAACAACCAAATGTTTTACATTTTGGTATCATATGTATGGATCAACAATTGGTTCTCTTAATATATACCAACAATACATGGGAGGTAGATTAAAGCTGTTGTGGACATTAAGTGGCAATAGAGAAATCAATGGAGCAGAGCTCAAGTTACAACCAACTTTACCGAAGTAAAACGAGGGTGAGTATAATTAACAATGTTCTCAAACTCTGCATATCAGAGTACAAAACACTTAGTTTCAACATTGAAAGCTTATTTAGATTTTAAAAGGATTGGGCGGGAGATGAGAAGATAAACAGTTCCAGAAAAATTTTCAATTCTTTGTTCACAGCTCATAAATAATTTTATTATCTTCCTTAACTCTTCAACCAGTAAATGTTTGCTGTAGCCTTTCCCCAGAAAATATTTTCTACCCTTTCGAAAGTTTCTTTATCTTGTAACGTCTTTTAAATTTTGGATGCTGATGTAGAATTATAAGGAGGATTAATGTCTTAAAACTTATATCCATGTTACAAATGTTACAAACTTATATCCCTGTAAGCCACGTGTCTCCAGACCAAAATTTCGTTTGTTCTCAATCATTACATTGCAAATCAACTTTTGGGTGCCTTTGTGGTTTCAAAACATCGTTCTTAATTTTGTTCATATCATTTGCTACCCACTTTCTATTAAAAGATCAAACAATCTATATTAGCAACTAAACTTGATGTTTTTATTCACATATAACTCACGACTCAGTGCACTTATAAATTCAAACTGCTCATTTGGCAATCAAAAGTAAAACCGCATATATCTACATTAAATTACTAAAGTGCATAATCGTTTTGAGTACATTTTGCATACTACCTGGTAAAAGTTTGAATATGTAATAAAGTAAACAATGTCTATCTGAATCACCGAACAGCATATTATCTTGCTAAAATCTTGCTAAAAAATTGCTTAAAAGCTTTTTTGTAGATCATCGTTGAAGGTGTTCGTGGCTCAAGCTTTACGGGTGATATTGCTCTAGATGATTTTGTTTTTCTTAATGGTTCATGTGATATCCATCCCACCTATGCTGAACCACGTTTTATCAGTAAGTTATTTTATATAATGACGAGTTTTGATCGCTTTCTTACGAAATTACTTGATTTTTAACAGGTATTGACGTATTTTCTATGCAGAAAAAGAACTGCAATGGTTATGTTTTGATGTATAAATAAAATTTTTAATAAATTTTAACGTTGTTAACCAGTCAATTTATCCCTAAACAACAAATAAAAATTAGCGCAAATCTCAATAAAAGAACGGTTTTAGAAAAAAAGCTTTGAATTTTACGTAAAAGATTGTTTTTTAAAGAGCTAAAAGATTCAATGAACATAGTTTTATCTTTTTTCCTTGTAGCAATTGCTACGAACATTGTAACCATGTAACAGTCTTGCACACAGTTCTTAACAATTCCCTGTAGTTTTTAAAGTTGTTAACTTTTGAATTAAAAAACTCATTTTTATCAACAATCTTATTAGATAGTCGTATAGAGATGCCGCATGTCCCTTTTACTTTCAAACGATTCTCCATAAAATTTCAATCTTTTAGATACTACATCAACCATTTCCCCAACTCCGACAATCTCCTACGGTAAGTATATATAAAAATTAAAGAAAGGGCTAATTCGTTACTCTTTTCAACTCGTGTTTCAAATGAAGGACATACGTCTTTTATTTTATTTCTTACCCATGCTTTATCCTCATGCAATGTTCTATTATGGTACGAGTTTCTTATTTGTGAATCTTTTTTTATAATTTTTAATCCATAGACTTTTGCTTGTTAAAAACAAAAGAGTTGTTTTAATTTTGTTATACAAAGTGCATACCAGTTTTATTTAAAGTACACGCAGAATTGCAATATGATGAAAATTGAGAAACAACATAGATGTTCTGTTTGTTCTACAGCCACACCTACCTCAACAACCACGATTGGTGCAAATGGTAAGGGTCCTACATTAAAATTTAATTATATTAAACTGTTAATTAATGTAAAAATAAGTTAAGTGTGTGTACGTTACTTACAGCTCTGGTCATTTTTAGAAAATTCAATTTAGTTATTATTTTAAAAACAAAGCCTCTGAAATCTATTTCTCTTTAAGTGCCGGGAATCAACATCTGTTCTGCTTCATCAATCAGTTCAACCTCTGCGACTATTGTGTCTCCAAACTATCCCAATGGCTCTGGAAGTAGGACCTGTACTTTGACAATAAGGCAGCCCTTAACATTGCAGTGAGGTTCAATATCTCAATTATTAACTTGGAACGTATACAAAATGGTAAGTGAATTCTACTACACCTCAAGGATGTTGTATCGAATAAGGGTTTACTTTGGCTGAAAAGTTCAAGTAACTTTCTCAGCGGAAAGTTTTTAACTACGATATTATATTTAGTTGTGATTTTTAAAATATCATTGAAAACAGTTTTGAAATTTGCCAAATCGTTCCATTTTATGCCTATTTCAATTTGGCAAAAGCTTCTTATGATGGACCTCGTCTGTTGTTCTAAAATTGCGAAACTATTACTATTGGATTCTGCAATAAAGAGACATGTACCAACTACTAAGATGACGTTAGAAATTGTTTTAACTTGGACTTACTGCCCTGGCGGACAAGTCCATTGAAAGGAATATTTTAACAACCATCACAATAAGATAATTTGACTAAATTTAAAACTGTTTCCACAAATACGTTAAACACTTCACTTACTTTTGATATCTTATATAAATTATTTCACAAATCTAGAGATAGCTACATTTTATTAAATTTCCAGAGAAGGATCACTTGTGTTTAGGATTTTAAAAGAAGTACATATTTTTTTATAAAATTTTTATTTTAATTGTTTTAATTTGCGCTTTATAAAGGCATAATGAATTAATTTAACAGGCAGAAGAGTTATATGTTTGGATTCCCTTACAATATCTGGTGGAACATCTAAACAATTCTGTGGCAACGAAACCTCTTTAACATTTACACCATATACCAATGTTGTATTATTGACATTCAGATCAAATGGAACGGCACCTATGGAAGGATTTAATCTTACATTTACAACTTTCTATCGTAAGTATGTAACGGTGCTTTATAGACCAATACACACCATACAAAAACATAAATAGTGATACAAAATATTTGCATAAACGTATGTAGAGTTTTACCATAAAGTTGTTAAAAGACAAATAAGAATACATAATTAGTTAATGTAATTAAAATGTGTTAAAGCACCCAATAAATTCACAATGACAATACACATTTCCTGTACACACAATACAATGACGTAAGAACCAGACAACAAATACGGCTAACCTGACGTTTACTCCTCATTTGACTCTGAAGATGACTACCGCTAAGGTTGTCGAAACGTCAGTCAACAACAACAAAAACAGTCCTTCTCAGTACTATACCAACCTGGACGATCGACATTTACAAACATGTAATGAATTATCTGGGAAGGTAAATACTTCACTTATTATAATTTCTTTTTCATGTATTTACTGTTTACCTTTGTCTAAATCAATCAAATATAAATCTTTGACAGGACTTTCCATAAATAATTGGCTAATTATTAAAAAACGCACTTTCATAAGCGCTCAAAAACAACCAACGTCAGTTTTGTATAACAAAATGGCTTTTACCTTTGACAAAATTGACACCAACTGTATCAAATATCTTATGTGGGTTGGTTTTGTTATTACCTGCAACTACAAAGAAAAATTGATTATCTGGATAATTAAATAAAACTAAAGAACTTGTGTTCCAATTTTTAAACAATCGAAAACCTTATCGGAAAGTCCTTCCATCACTTTTTGTTGCGAAGAATGTGCCATAGTAGTATTTGTAAAATTTGGTCAATAAATTGTGAAAGAACACTGTCCTTCGTATTTCATATACGAAAAAAGATTTAATAAAATTAACTGTTTTGGAAAATTGCTTCGTGCCCACTTCGCTATATACTTACATGCACCACCTTTTCATTAATATAAAACCATTATCTGTACTAAATTATTTAGGAATGGATTTACCTTCTGCAACAAATGTTTGCTCGAATAAAATGATATACACTTCAGCTGGTCGAATTTACTCACCTGGATTTCCTAATGCCTACAGTAACAATCTAAGATGTAGTGTCACAATTGTTGTTCCTTTTGAAAGAGCACTGGAAATCGTCATCAATTATTATGATATTGAATGTAAGTTAAATTTCTATGCATTATCTCCATTTAAAATTCTGTTTACCAAATAATTCAAAAAATTTCATCGATAGCTATATATAGGTTTTTGTTTGTGCTACCTCAAAATGTTAGAATCCTGAAAACTTTTTACACAATAAGTTTCAAACTTTGGTTTACAATACATTGCAAAACAATGCTATAGATGACGAAAATTTCGTCACTTTGTAAACGTTTTCTAACATAATTGTTGATTCTTTTATATGAAGAATAAAACAACAAATCATGTTTTTTATTTCAAATTTAACACAGTGCCCACACAACGGTTGAGGTTTGTTGCAGTTTGGGAGACATTTCTCTATCCTCCTGTCTACAATTGTAAACTATTATCCTTAAATCAGGAAACGGTGTACAAAACACATAAAAATTTTCAGTTACCATTTAAGTACGGCGTAATTGACTTTCCGTTGCTTCGTTGATGGACAAATATGTCCTGATCAATTAAAAGGTTTAAAATTAAAGACTCCACTTCCGTATTTTAACTTTGATCATTATCATTAATGATCTATTATTAGAACAGAGAGATCAATATACGCAGATAGAGACAAAAACAACTCTAACTTCAAAAAGTATAAAAGATGTAAATAAATAAAATCAAAACAAACAAAATTACTCATCAGTTATATTTTTGCTTCTTTTTAAATTTAAACACTTCAATGCATTTAATTAGTACATTCCACATGTGTATGGGATAAATTGTCATTGTCAAATGGTGCCACATCAAACGACATTTGCGGTCTCTCATGAATCAACGGTCGGCCACAGAAGTTTAAAGATGGGAATGTTGTCATAAGTTTTACAACTGACTCAGTGTTACTCGTACTGGATTTTTGCTGACTTTTCGTAGTATTCCTTTAATACGTAAGTGGATAACTTGTGTTATTTATTCATAATGTTGAATTTGTAAGAACAATTCACCATGT